GTATGAATTCTTAGGCCCAAATTCCAATTACCCCGTAAATGTTAGTGCATCCTTGAGTGAAAGCCAAGCTCAAGCGTTATGTTGTGTCTTGAGAAAGCACCAAGGTGCTTTGGGCTATACTATTAATGATCTTAAGGGTATAAGCCCCGCTTTGTGTACACACCACATAACGCTTGAGGAAGGCACCCTTCCTTCTATTGAACGACAAAGAAAGCTACACCCTCAAATGGGAGAGGTGGTGAGAAAAGAGATCACCAAGCTTTTGGATGCAGGAATCATATTCCCTATCTCAAGCTCTAGGTGTGTCTCTCCCATTCATGTCATTCCTAAGATGGGGGGTATGACCGTAGTCAAGAATGTAATCCCCCATATTTTCAACTTAATTATAATTTATTTATATATTATTCTTACAAATATTTTTATGTCAATTTCATTGAATAAATTATTTTTATGAAAAGATTTAAGTAAACTAATATGTTTTTGACTAATTTACAAACAATTTTAACTTTATAGCCCAAAACCTCAAATTTTACTCCTAATCTAATTAGGAAACCCAAGGCCCAAATAAAACCCTCAAAAACCCTCACACTTCTCCTCTCTCTCACATAAAAAAAAAGGAAAAAGCTTTCACTCTCCTTCTCCTTCTCCCTGAATTCACGAACAGCAACAACAAAGAAATAAAACTCGCTGCCGCACAGCCACCGCCGCCAGCCACACCTCCGGCCACCACCGCCTGCACAGCCGCGCCTCCCCTGCAGTTCGCCCCTTCTTCTTCCCTTTTCTTTACTTTTTTTTTATTTTATTAAATTGATTTAAAGTTGTAATCTTTGTTTAATTTTTATTCTAAATGATTGTTATTATGGTTTGATATTATACTTGGGTAGCAAAAGATTATGAATTTATGAGTTTTGACATGTTTAATTTATTATAGAAAATTTCAGATTTTGTATATGTATGAATTTAGGGTTTAAATCATTGATTTTTCATGTTTTAGGGCTTGATAACGTGTTAATCAAGTTATCCCATCATGCTATGTTTAAATTACGTTAAAGTATAATTATTTTAATCATATATAAATTTTCAGATTTATTAAAGTTTCAATTTTAATGAACAAGTTGTTTTAATTTCATGTTTTTATGTTTCTAAACCTATAAAATAATTATTGTGAGTATTTTGTGATTGAAAAAGCTTTGAACGTTAAATTCTAATTTTAAAAATAATTTTCAGATTTCATACTTTTTATTTTGAAGCCTCTAATTGCATTGAATTGGTATATTCTTGGGTTTTTAACACACTGACTTGCTATATAATGATTATTTCAAGTAATTATGCTTATTGGGTTATTTTATATACTTCAAAATAACTTTCCAGATTTATTTACTTACTTTAAAGTTGCTGTAATTTGATATAAAACACTATATTTTCATAATTATAACATATAAACTTAAAGTTGGGATGTTATATTATTAACTTTGATTATTGGGGACAATTTAAAAGCTTTATTTTGATGATTTAAGAGGTTTTAAAGTAGTTTAGTATTGCTGTAAATTTATTTTCTTTGGTATTGATTTATTTCTAATTGTTTTGTTTAGGAGAGGACTTTGTAGAAGGCGACTTCTAGTTTTAAAGTGGCCAACCGGATTGTTTACACAGGGTACGTACAAGTTACGAAACCTTGCTTATAGGTGCATGTTTAAGGACGGATCGAGAACTTAGTATCATGTATAGGATTGACTGGGTTAAATTGTCTGGTTATACATTGTGAATTTCAAATGATGTGCACTAGTTTATAATGCAAGTATTATTTGTGCTTTAATTATGCAAGGTGCGCTTAAAGGTAAAGGTATGTGATTGGTGTAAAGATCACATTATTACTCATTCATGATTATGAAAACAGGATGAGTAAAGGAGAAATTCAAGTCTTGTAAGACGAGGTTAAGGTTTTTGGGTGCCTTATGCACTCAAGGTGTTTATACACCGAGGTAGTAAAGGAATAATTAATAAATGTTTTTTGTCAGTAATAAATCAAGAATTTAAATTGAGAATTTGCCATGTTTGAATGAATTGTGTTTGGAATGATTGTATTGTAATGTATATGAGTCGTCACCAAGTCTAAACCTGTAAATCACGTAAAGCGCAAGATAGATGAGCAATAAAACTCTATAATGGTGCACATCTGGAGTAATGACAACCAGGGGTTGGGCTACATGGGGTATTAGCCGTGTACTTTTATCGAGGTCGTCTGATCTACGAGTCTCCTATTTCAAATATTATTTTTCTAAAACTAGGAGTTAGGTGAGATCTCATACTAACTACGGTCACAGAGTCGCGCCCGTGGTCGTTGGATGTTTATTGATGTTTCCGAAAGGAGGCATGGGGTTTTTCTTTTATTGATGTTCCAAATGGGATATGGGTTGGACAACCTTGTGTATTGCTAAATCCGATGAAATAAATAAATGAGTCAGTCAATATCAATTAGTGAGGTCTTAATAAATTTGATAATCGAGTCATGAATTGAGTCTGTATTTAATGATGCTTATGCTTGATTATTAGTAGCATGTTAGGTATTTTCTTAATTTATTTCGCAACTTGTATGTACTCAGCTTTGCTGACTGCGTGCTTTTGTGTGTGTCTTTTTTTGGTCATGTCCTTCGCCTTTCAATGACCCTGTGACGATCCATTTTTTACACTTGTAATATTGGGGAGCAGAATAACCACAGGTTCTTACACATGCAGCATTCATCAGGGTTGTGGGATCTTGAGTAGAGAGTTGGTTGTTTGCATTTTATTTCTTTTGCAAGTTTGAATTTATTTTAATTCGATTTTTTTTTGGCACTAATTCCTTTGGGTTTGAAATTATTCGAACACTGGATTTAATCACTTACTACTTTTATTGGGTTTTGATTAAGGGCCTTAATGGTTCTAACTTGTAACACTTATTTTGATTTAATTCTTTTGTTTTGAATTTTATTCACCACTGTTTTAGTTTTTCGCTGCTAATTTCTGAGATAGCCTTAACGTTTGAACACGTGGCGGTAGCACGCTAGTAATTCTCTTGAATTTGTTCAGGTTATATACAGGTTTCTCACAGGTTTTTAAGAGAGAATTATTGGGGTGTTACAAAGTGGTATCTAGGAGCTTAGGTTAGATTTAATTACCACTAAAGCCAATTAGCTTAGTATGACTTAGGCGCCTATTCAATGATTTAATTTTGAATTTTAATGAAAAAAAAATTATTCATTTGAAACTAAGTATGTTTTAAACCATTTTATTTAAAACAATTATGAAGTTTATTTTGTCTACTTGGTGAGCTTAGGGTAGACTTAAGAAGGGAATGCATGCATATTTCATATATATATATTTTTTTTGCATTTAATTATCACATGAAGTGTTATTTTCTTATTTATTTAACATGTTATAATTATGTTCTAATTGATTTATTTTTATGATGTGCTTGTGTTATGCTTTTTGAATGTTCGTTGCGCTGGGTTAACGTAGAAAAGAGATGAGCGACTCAGTAATCACGTCGGAAAGCGTGAGTAATGATATTAGGAACAACCCCATTGTTGTGTCTGAGGATGAGAATGATACTCGAAGTGACGATACTCTGGAAAGGTTTGAAATGATTATGACGCCAACTAATCCAGATGAGGAAGACTACCAGTACTTACATGAGTTTAAAACAACAAAGAATAAGAAGCATAAGATTAAAACCTACCAAAGAATGTTCCATGATTATACTCTTATTGAATTTCTAGATGAGGATGAGCTTGAATGGTTACAACCACCACCTGAAGATCCAAATGCTGTGAAGAGAGCTACTAGAAATCCAAATCCACTCTACAAGGCAATAATTATTGAAGATTCAGATGACGAAAATGACCTTGATTTTTATGTTAATAATTATAATGAGAAGAAAGATAAGAACAGCAATGTGATACCTTGAGGATTATTTTTGTTAGGGTGGAGTTAGCATGAATAAGGAATTTGCCATTGATAATGTTATTAGAACCTCATTATAGTCTAATTTGGATGATTAATTTTAATAAGTAGCTAGTGCTACAGAGTCTTTATTTGGGATTGATACCTTTATATAAGTTATAATAAGAAGTTGATATTTTATTTTTAAGAGCTTCATTTTACTTTTATTTGTGAGCAAGAGCAATTTTAATTTTTGTATTCATATACTTTTTTGGGAAAATCTCTTTGTCTATGATCAAACTTAATAAGAGTGTCACGGGATGGGGAAATTATTTTCTTAACTTCATTTAATCCTGCATATGAATCGTGCTTTTATTGTGTGGTTTTGCTTGGGACAAGGGGGTGCAATCTCAAGGTACCCATTTGAACCAATTTATGTGACAAATGTAATATTGTGATTCAATGAATATGTGTGAATAGTATTTGGGTTTAGTTTAAAATGGAGTGCATATTTATTTTATTTCAGGCGTAGAGCTAGAATGGCTGAGAACGTTGCCTTAGCTCATGTTATTCGTTTGTTGGCTGAAAATGTGATCCAAAATCGGGGAGACCAAGCTCAAATGTTTAAGAAGCTGGCCCAGGTTAGGCCTCCAGTTTTTAGGGGAGGTGCTGACCCTACTTTCCTAGAAAACTGGATTCGAGAGTTTGACAAGCTGTTTGTGGCACTCAACTGTCCTGAGGGTATGAAAGTGGACCAGGCCGCTATGTACCTTAAGGACAAAGCTGATATCTGGTGGAGAGACAATGTTGTGATCCTTAGGGCTAAACCTAACTTTGGGTGGGAAGTGTTTAAGACCTCCTTGAGGGACAATTTTTACCCCCCGTTCCTGAAGAAACAGAAGGCTCAGGAGTTTATAAGCCTGGAAATGGGAGACATGTCAATCTCTGAGTACTATGATAAGTTTATAACCCTTTCTAGGTTTGCTCCTGAGGTAGTACCAACTGAAAAACTGAAGGCTTAGAGGTTTGAGCATGGATTCCTGAAGAAACAAAAGGCTCGGGAGTTTATAAGCCTTGCAATGGGAGACATGTCAATCTCTAAGTACTATAATAAGTTTATGACCCTTTCTAGGTTTTCTCCTGAGGTAGTACCAACTGAAGAACTGAAGGCTCATAGGTTTGAGCATGGATTGACTGACGAGTTACAACAAGGCCTAGCCGGAAAAGTTTTTAAAAGCCTTGACGAGGTCTATGAGAGAGTTGCCCATCTGTACCATCTGAATACTAGGACTGCTAGTGCGAGTGCTAAGGCTGGGGAGAAAAGGAAGGACTTTGGGAAATCTGAGAACCAGAGTAACTCTAAGAGGCCTAGGAATTGGAACTCATTTGATAGGGGTAACCAGAATGTTAGTAGTTCTTCTAATGCTAACAATGGAGAGAGAACCTACCTTTGTAAGAGGTGTAGAAGGAACCACCCTGAGAGAGACTGTGATGGGAATTTGGTGACTTGCCGGTTCTACAACAAAAGAGGACACAAGGAGTATGAGTGTTACACCAAGCGGAAACAACAGGGAAATGGTGGGAACGGTGGGAACACCCAGCAGAGGCCTAACAATTTTAACAACCAGGGGAATAGGGGAAATGGTTATAATGGGAAGTTTGGGAATGGTAGCAACAATAACAACAAGTTTGGCAATGGCAACAACAACAATTCAGGCAACAACAATGGTTATCAGGTAAGAAACAACACTCCCGGCCGCTTGTCTGTAATGAGAAAGGGAGAAGCTAAGAGGTCCTCGGATGTAGTTATGGTACTTTTTCTATCCAATCTGTCTCTGTCAACACTCTATTTGACTCTGGAGCAGCTTATTCTTTCATTTCTACTTCTGTTTTGCGCAAGTTAAACTTAACTGAATCGAGTCATGTTGATGTGTCAGTCAGTCTGCCTACGGGCAAACTTGTTCATTGTAATAAAATATTCAAAGGATTACCGTTGAAAATAGGAGAAGCTATCTATCCATCAAACCTTATTGAGTTTAACCTAGGGGACTTAGATGTAATTCTGGGGATGGATTGGCTGAGTTTATACAAGGCTAAGATAGACTGTGAGATGCAGAGGGTGTAGCTGAGTGATCCTATGGGTAAGAAAGTGTCCTATAGACGGTTAGGGAAGCCTAAGGGTTTTGGGATCATTTTTGCTATGAAGGTGAAGAAGCTAGTGAATAAGGGATGTCCATTGTACTTTTGCTGTGTTCAAGATTTGAGTATGAGTGAGAGTAAGCAGATGGAGGATGTGCCCATTGTGAATGAGTTTTCCAAAAGAGATTTCGGGAATGCCACCTAAGAGGGAAGTTGAGTTTACCATTGATTTAGTTCCAGGAGCTGCACCTATCTCAAAAGCACCGTATAGAATGCACCAGCTGAGATGAGTGAACTAAAGGCTCAATTGCAGGAGTTGTTAGACAAGGGGTTCATTAGGACCAGTGCATCACCTTGGGGAGCACCTGTGCTATTTGTGAAAAAGAAGGATGGAAGTTTGAGGCTATGTATTGATTATAGAGAGTTGAATAATGTGACTGTGAAGAATAAGTACCCTCTACCTAGGATAGATGACTTGTTTGACCAACTGAAGGGGGAAAGCGTGTTTTTGAAGATTGACTTGAGGTCGGGGTACCATTAGTTGAAGGTTGCAGATAAAGATATTCCAAAAATAACCTTTAGAACTCGGTATGGACATTATGAGTTTACGGTCATGCCTTTTGGGTTAACCAATGCACCAGCCATATTCATGGACTTGATGAACCGAGTGTTTCATGAGTACTTGGATAAGTTTGTAATTGTGTTCATTGATGACATTTTGGTGTATTCGAGGAATGAGGAAGAACATGCTGAGCACCTGAGAACTACCCTTGAAACCCTTAGGAAGAATAAGTTGTATGCTAAGTTTTCCAAGTGTGAGTTCTGGTTGGAAAAAGTTGCATTTTAGGGGCATTACATTTTGAAGGAGGGTGTATTCGTGGATCCTGCGAAGATCAAGGCGGTGAGTGAGTGGCCTACACCTAAGAATTTGACTGATGTTCGTAGTTTCTTGGGATTAGCTGGATATTATAGAAGGTTTGTTAAGGATTTTTCGAGGATAGCCAGACCCATGACTACTCTTATGAAGAAGCAGACCAAGTTTGAGTGGAACGAGAGTTGTGAATCAGCTTTTCAAACCCTTAAAGAGCAATTGACCACTGCACCAGTACTAGTATCACCTGATAGATAGAAGGATTCAAAGTGTATAGTGATGCCTCGAAGCATGGTCTGGGATGTGCCCTATAGAAGAATGGAAGGGTGATCGCATATGCATCGAGACAACTGAAGAAACATGAAGTTAACTGCCCTACCCATGACTTGAAGCTTGAAGCTGTTGTATTCGCTTTGAAGATTTTGAGGCACTACCTTTACGGTGTTTCTTATAAGATATTCACGGACCATAAAAGTCTAAAGTACATCTTCACCCAAGATCACTTGAACATGCAGCAACGTAGATGGTTGGAGTATCTTACAGACTTCCATGTCCACATCCAGTATCACGAGGGAAAGGCGAATTTAGTTGTGGATGCCCTTAGCAGGAAGTCGAGTCATAATGTCAATGCTTTGATTGTGGCCAATGAGTTGTGTGAAGATATGAGGAGATTGAACCTTGAGGTTATCAACCAAGGAGAGTTAGAGGGAATACTAAGTGCTTTAACCATCCAGCCTTCCATATTTTAGGAGATTAAAGAAAAGAAACAGGAGGATGAGTCGTTTCAGAAGATTAAGGATCGTGTGACAAGTGGTGCGGAGACTGAATTCAAGATTTATGAGGATGGGAGCTTGAGATACAAGGAGAGATGGTGTATACCACAGAAGTGTGAGGATATTAAAAGGAAAATCATGGAGGAGTGCCATAATACACCATATTAAGTTCACCCTGGGGGTGATAAGTTGTATAAGGACTTGAAAGAGTTCTATTGGTGGCCGAATATGAAGAGAGAAGTGGCTGAGTTTGTATCCAAGTGTCTGACGTGCCAGAAGGTGAAGATAGACCACAAAAGACCCATGGGAAAGGTACAACCATTAGAAATACCAGGTTAGAAGTGGGATTCCATATCCATGGACTTTGTGACAAGCTTACCAAAGACTCGTACTGGGAATGACACGATTTGGGTGATTGTAGACAGACTTACTAAGTCAGCGATGTTCATTCCTATCAAAGAGACCTGGAAAAAGAAGCAGCTAGCAAGTGTCTATGTGAAGAATGTAGTTCGGTTGCACGGAGTTCCCAAGGACATAGTGTCAGATAGAGACTCTAGGTTTCTATCAAAGTTTTGGCAAAAAGTGCAAGAGAACCTTGGAACAGCATTGAAGATGAGTACTGCCTTTCACCCTGCAACTGATGGTCAGACTGAGAGAACAAACCAAACCATGGAGGATATGTTACGAGCTTGTGCTTTAGATTTCCAAGGAAATTGGGAGGATCACCTACCTTTGATCGAATTTTCCTACAATAACAGTTACCATGCAAGCATCAAGATGGCACCATTTGAATCATTGTATGGAAGGAAGTGCAGAAGCCTAGTTTGCTAGAATGATTACAGTGAACGGGTTACTTTGGGTACAGATTTCGTTGAGGATATGGTGACCAAGGTGAAACTAATCCAGTCGCGTATCAAGGAAGCACAAGATAGACAGAAGAGTTATGCCGACTTGAACAGTAGAGATGATGAGTTTAGTGTTGGAGACAAAGTCTTTCTAAAGGTTTCTCCAACAAAAGGTGTGATGCGATTCGGCAAGAAAGGGAAGCTTAGTGCAAAATATGTGGGTCCGTATGAAATTCTCCAACGTGTGGGGAAAGTGTCTTACAAATTGGCTTTGCCAATGGAGTTCGAGAAAATGCATGATGTGTTCCACATTTCCCAATTGAAAAAGTATGTGCCTAGTGAAACCCATGTTTTGCAGCCGGAGACTATTCAACTAGTTGAGTCTCTAACTTATGAAGAAAGACCATTCAAGATACTAGATCACAAGGTGCGTAGTACTAGAACCAAAGATGTGAAGATAGTGAAAGTCCTTTGGTCAAACCAGGAGTACGAAGAGGCAACTTGGGAGGCCGATGAAGAGATGAAAAACAAATATCCCGAGTTTTTTGACGAGGTGAGTTACAAGGGCGTAACTCTTTTCTTTTGAGGGTGGAAGAATGTGATGTAATTTCGCGCTTTTACCTCAATTATACCATTTATTGCTTGATTTTGCATGTTTTGTTTATCATTATGCATTATTATTGCGTTTACATACTATAAAAAGTATGTAAACTTTGGCCAACTATTAGTTCATTGAGTACAAAGTTCTGTTTGTTGAGTACACTTGTTGAGAAGCAAGCAATTTACTACAATACAAAACGCATAAGTTTGAATACTTTTGAGGAACTATGGATTTTGGGTAAAGTTTCAAGGGCGAAACTTCTTTTAAGAGGGTTAGATTGTAATCCCCCATATTTTCAACTTAATTATAATTTATTTATATATTATTCTTACAAATATTTTTATGTCAATTTCATTGAATAAATTATTTTTATGTAAAGATTTAAGTAAACTAATATGTTTTTGACTAATTTACAAACAATTTTAATTTAATAGCCCAAAACCTCAAATTTTACTCCTAATCTAATTAGGAAACCCAAGACCCAAATAAAACCCTCAAAAACCCTCACACTTCTCCTCTCTCTCACGTAAAAAAAAAAAGGAAAAAGCTTTCACTCTCCTTCTCCTTCTCCTTTCCCTACATTCACGAACAGAAACAACAAAAACAACAAAAAAAATCGCTGCCGCTCAGCCACCGCCGCCAGCCACACCTCCGGCCACCACCGCCTGCACAGTCGCGCCTCTCCTGCAGTTCACCCCTTCTTCTTCCCTTTTCTTTACTTTTTTTTATTTTATTAAATTGATTTAAAGTTGTAATCTTTGTTTAATTTTTATTCTAAATGATTTTTATTATGGTTTGATATTATACTTGGGTTGCAAAAGATTATGAATTTATGAGTTTTGACATGTTTAATTTTTTATAGAAAATTTCAGATTTTGTATACGTATGAGTTTAGGGTTTAAAGCATTGCTTTTTCATGTTTTAGGGCTTGATAACGTTTTAATCAAGTTATCTAATCATACTATGTTTAAATTACGTTAAAGTATAAGTATTTTAATCATATATAAATTTTCAGATTTATTAAAGTTACAATTTTTATGAACAAGTTGTGTTAATTTCATGTTTTTATGCTTCTAAACCTATAAATAATTATTGTGAGTATTTTGTGATTGAAAAAGCTTTGAACTTTAAATTCTAATTTTAAAAATAATTTTCAGATTTCAAAATTTTTATTTTGAAGCCTCTAATTGCATTGAATTGGTATATTCTTGGGTTTTTAACACACTAACTTGCTATATAATGATTATTTCAAGTAATTATGCTTATGGGGTTATTTTATATACTTAAAACAAATTTCTAGATTTATTTACTTACTTTAAAGTTGTTGTAATTTGATATAAAACACTATATTTTCATAATTCTAACATATAAACTTAAAGTTGGGATGTTATATTATAAACTTTGATTATTAGGGACAATTTAAAGGCTTTATTTTGATGATTTAAGAGGTTTTAAAGTAGTTTAGTGTTGCTGTAAATTTATTTGCTTTAGTATTGATTTATTTCTTATTGTTTGGTTTAGGAGAGGACTTTGTAGAAGGCGATTTCTAGTTTTAAAGTGGCCAACCGGATTGTTTACACAAGGTACGTACAAGTTACGAAACCTTGCTTGTAGGTGCATGTTTAAGTATGGATCGAGAACTTAGTATCATGTATAGGATTGCCTGGGTTAAATTGTCTGGTTATACATTGTGAATTTCAAATGATGTGCACTAGTTTATACTGCAAGTATTATTTGTGCTTTAATTATGCAAGGTGCGCTTAAAGGCAAAGGTATTTGATTGGTGTAAAGATCAAATTATTACTCATTCATGATTATGCAAACAGGATGAGTAAAGGAGAAATTCAAGTCTTATAAGACGAGGTTAGGGTTTTGGGGTGCCTTATGCACTCAAGG